CAGCCATGCTGGCTGGGGAATTCTGGGAGTTGAAGTCCATACATCTTAAAGTTGCCGAGGTTGAGAAACACTATCCTAGAAAGACAAGTTACTTTCTTCTCCAGTTTTGTGATCAAGACCATAAATGTTCCTTTTCCTTCCTCATTAAACCAGTGAAGGCGATGCAAACATGCTCATTCTCCAGAGCATGTGAAAATTGCCTCAGGGAGCATGTAGCAAAACCAGAAACTGTTGTGGAGCCACCCATGACTTTCTGCTTAGGTAAAGAGGCCAAACCAATGTCTTTTATCTTTTTTCATTGAACCGAACAGTCAAATCCCTAGGATATCAAGCAAGGGCAATCCCCTTCACATTTGGCTATTTCAGGTATTTTAAACGCTCTGTGAATGGCTGCACAAAATGGGGGAGGACGCTTCCACGTTTCAGCTTTAAATAGAAAAGGCAAATGCAAGAACTATGTCCGACCAGCCTGCCCAAGACTGCTCCAAAGCAACCTTAGCCATACCCCGCCCGCATCCAAAGACCTGCAGCTGTCACGCGATGATCTCTGCACACCTCTCCCTCTCTCGCCCTCCCATGCACCACAGATTTTTAGATACGTCTGTTCCCTTCTCTGAGCCCTCGTCCCATTTCGGAGTGAGGGGCTTTGCATGACGTCATAAATACTAATGCACCCGAAGTGCTCACTCCACAGGCGTGATCCTCGTCACCCCCTCCCATTTCCCTTTAAACCCCCTCTCCGACACTCACTCCTTAGACATCGTACACAGGTGACCTACAGAAAGCGTAGAACCCCCTTTCCGAACACGCATGCGTCGAACGCCGCATCGTAGTCGCCCTCCTCCTCCTTCCCGACGCTGCCCTCTTCCGCAAGGCGACGCCTCCGTTGTCGCAGAGATCCATAGACTTACTAATTGGGGTAAAACTAGCGTCACTTTCGGCGTGGAAAGTTTCTTTTCTCTCTTCCCTTGAATGAAAGCTGCCTTGGGAAGTTGAGACTCCTGGCGGCTAGGCGGGAGTGGGTCGTCTTCCCAATTCAGACGTCGCTGCGCTGCTGAGTTTTTCTGCGGTCTATGACTAATCGCACAGTGCACTCTATTACATTAAATCCATGTATTTTTGTACCTAGACAGTCGATTTTTAGGGAGGTATGGATTATCACGTGTAAAACATACAAGTGCTTCCAAAGATAAATCGCTATTTTTTTGCCCGTCAAAGTTCATCTGAAACGGCTTTCTTCGATCCTAGCCTAGTAATGCTGAGCGCTGAAGTCCAAGCCATACGGCACGCACCCAACTGAGACCATTATGTCGTTTTGTTGTGGTGGTTACTAACAAACGGTAGAAAAATGGGATTTATATGCTGGTCAAGAAAACACTAAGTGTCTGCATGCAAGAGCTGCGTTCATTGTGGCTATACATCATGAAGTGTGTTATATGAAGAATTTTTTACTGGTAAACCAAGCCTGCTTTAACCCCTATAATATTCTGTGTTACACTGGCAGGATTATTTTTTTAGTTAGCTAGTGTATTTAAAACTTTTTAAAAAGGCAAAGCAGGAAATATGGTAGGCTCATTCATGGGGCCAGGTTTTGTTTTACCCATGTTTGTTTATTGAATAAGCCATAATGGCTGGGGTTGCACAGCAAACTAAGTCAAAACCCAAACGGATGCTTAAGGGGGATCTTCCAGTACGTATCTTAACATTAAAATCTGCAGAGGGGCTCCCTCAGCATCCCAGACTGTGAGAGTGTACTTCTCTATTGGGGCACCTAGCTTTGAGTACCCTTCTCTGAAGGCCAGGCACCCACTATCTACCTTCAGTCCAGCTTTTCTTTCTTTCTTTCTTTCTTTCTTTCTTTCTTTCTTTCTTTCTTTCTTTCTTCACCTTTGGGACTTAGTATCCCCAGCTTATTCATGTCTTTTGTCTCTCTGGTGCCTCTCTGTCAGCATCACATGTTTATTT